ACAGGGAAACAGTGCCCGGTGGGGTAGGTCCAAGTGCACAGGGAAACAGTGCCCGGTGGGGTAGGTCCAAGTGCACAGGGAAACAGTGCCCGGTGTGGTAGGTCCAAGTGCATAGGGAAACAGTGCCCGTGGAGGCTGTGTGTCCTGCTGGAGCCCGTGCAGCAGCCTGCCCAGGACTATTGAGCAGCTGCAGCTGGGGTCTCCATGGTGATGAAGATGGGCGGGGGCTTGTGTCCCCCTGAGGCCAGGCATTTAAGGATAGCTGTCGGGTAGCTGTGCCCATCAGAGCCTGGAACAGCCAAGGCCTTAGGCCCACCAGACCTCGATGGTCCCCTGCGGGGAGCCCTTCCCTCAGCAAACAGGACCTCTGGAAGTCCAAGTCTCGGGCTGGGGGAAGTGAGTGTCAGGGAGTCCCCTCAGCCTTGGCTTTGGCCTCTGTTGTCACGGCAGGCTGTCCACCTCCACCCATCAGATGCCAGAAGCAYCCCCACTACCAGGCTGTGACACCCAAAGATGTCTCCAAACAGTGTGCACGGTCCCTAAGGGGCAACCTTGCCCTGTGAGAGCCACTGGTTGGGACAGCAAGGGGGTCCCTGTTTGGATGGGGACCTCAGGACATGAGAAGGGAGGTCGGGTCCCTTTCCCTCTCTGCCTGAGCTTCTCCACCCTAGGCCTGCGCACAGCTGGGTGCGGACAGGGGTAGGCCAACAGAGGAGACTGGGGCTCTGAAGGCTCCCCTTTCCTCCCCAGGGGTCATTGCTGGAGCCATTGTGGGTGTCCTCCTGTTTCTCATCCTGGTGGGCCTGCTGATCTTCTTCCTGAAGAAGAGGTGAGACTCAGTGCAGGACTGACCACCTAGGGGGTGGGGACAAGGCAAGGAAGGGTGAGGATCCCTGGCCCCAGCCTAGTGCTGAGCCTTACATCCCAACATTCTTTCCCCAGGAATAAGAAGCACCAGGAGAAGGCAGTGCCCAGGGATCTGGTGTTCGGGTGAGTAGAGGGCTTGGGGGACCATCTAAAAGGATGGCTGTCAGATCATATCAAGGGGTGCTTGCTGGTAACTGGTCAGATCAGAGCAGCCTCAGAGAGGACTAGTACCCTCTGCAATGGGGCCCAGGCACTTCCTAAGCACTTCCTGGGTCAGGTCCAGGACATCCCTGCATTCCTCAAATACCACCAAGTATGGGAAGTGGGTTGGACACTCTTCTAGGAACAGTTCCTCCTGTGCAGTTTGCCCCCTAGCACGGGAGACACTGAGTGAGGGAATATAGGTCAGGATGCATGTGTGAAGACAATGAAGCCACAGAGGGGACAACACCAAGACAGCAACGTGACAGAACACCAAGGAAGGAAACAGAGGGGACACCAGAGGTACAAAGACCTACCAGGTTTACGGGGAAAGAGAGTATTTAAAAATGATCTATAGAATCTGCCAATCCCCATCAAATCACCACTGATAGTCTTCACAGAACTAGAAAAAAGAAGTCCTGAGATTCATATCAAGAATTAAAAGATAGAAACAAAAAAAGAAAAAAGAAAAAAAAAGAATTAAAAGACCCAGGATAGCCAAAGAAATTTTGAGTAAAAAAGATGCTGGGGGGCGGGGCAGGGGGGCTGGGGTTGTGGCTCAGTGGTAGGGCGCTCGCTTAGCACATGTGAGACCCCGGGTTCAATCCTCAGCACCACATAAAAATAAATAAGTAAAATAAAGGAATTGTGTCCAACTACAACTAAAAAATAAATAAATAAATAAAGGTATTGTTTCCAACTACAATTTAAAAATATTAAAAAAAAAAAAGATGCTAGAGGCATCACAATACTTGATTTCAAATTATACTACAGAGCTGCAGTAACAGAAGCAGCCCGGTGTTGACATGTAGATCGATGGAAAAGTCTAGAAGACACAGAGACAAACCCCCACAGACACAGTCCTCTGATCCTTGACAAATGTGCCAAAAACTTTCCTTGAAGAAAAGACTCCTTTTAGTAAATGGTGCTGGGCAAACTGGATATCCATACGTAGAAGAATGAGATTAGATCACTGTCTCTCTGCACAAAAGTCAACCAAAACGTGGGTCAAAGACCTGGGAATAAGACCAGTCTGCAAGTGCTGGAAGAAAGCCCAGGTGAACAGTCCAATACGGAGCTTCCTCAACAGGACTCCTGGAGCCCAGGAAGCAACACCGAGAATTAATAAGTAGGTGGCCTCAAACTTAAAAGCTTGGGTACAGCAAAGGAAACAAGAGTGTGAAGATGGCCCGCAGAATGAGAGAAAATCTTTGCCATCTGCTCTTCCAACAGAGGGTTGACATCCAGAAAACATAAAGAACTCAAAGCATTTAACATATACACACAAAATCCTAAACAATCCAACCAATAAATGAGCAAATGAACTAAATAGACATTTAAAAGGAGAAATACAAATGTTCAACAAATACATCAAAAATGTTCAACACCTACAGCATCAGGGAAATAAAAATGGCATTAAGATTTCACTCCACTCCAGTTAAAATGGCAATAATAAAAAATACAAATAATAATAAATGCAGGTGAGAATGTAGGGGAAAAGGAATACTTTTACACTCTTGATGGGGTTGTAAATTAGTATAAAGACTATGGAAATGAGAATGGAGGTTCCTCAAAAGTCTAGGCATATCTGGGTGCTATGGCACACGCTATAATCCCAGCAGCTTGGGAGGCTGAGGCAGGAGCATCTCAAGTTCAAAGCCAGCCTTAGCAACTTAGCAAGGCACTAAGCAACTAAGTGAGTTCCTGTCTCTAAATAAAATAATAATAAAAAAAAGGCTGGGGGTATGGCTCAGTGGTTATGCACTGGGTTCATTCCTTGATACCTCCCCCCCCCAAAAAAAAAAAAAAGAAAAAAGAAAGAAAGACTAGGCATGGAACCACCATATGACTGAGCTATACCACTCCTTGGTATTTACCTTGGAGAACTGAATCATCTTGCTACAGTGATACATACACACCCATGTTTACAGCAGCAACACTCACAATAGCCAAACTATGGAACCAGCCTAGATGTCCATCAAAAGATGAATGGATAAAGAGAATGTGTCATATGTACACCATAGAGTTATACATACACAGAGTTATATTTGGCCACAAAAAATGAAATTGTGTCATTTGCAGGAAAATATGGAAAACTGGATGCCATAGTGTTAAATGGAATATTTTTTCTAATATATGGAAGATAGAAAAAATTTTTTTCTAAATGACCTCATGGAAATAGAAGGCAGAACAGTGGAGACCCGTACAGTAGAGGAAGGGGACCAGGGATAGGCAGGGCGGGGGCACTGGGGAATGAAGCTGGTCGAGGGAGCTCGTGTGTGTGCATGAATATGTCGCGATCAGTTCCCTATTGTGCATGATCACAATGCACCAATAAAAACTGTGCTCCGTGGGAGCAGACAGAAACCACTGGAATCTCAGAAAGTCGAGCAGCTTCACACTCACAGGGGCAAACAGGTCTACAAGCCAAAGAGAAAGAAGGGATGGTAGCAGACACAGAGCAGGGGAAGCCACGGCTTCCTGAGACACAGGAGCGATCTGCTCTCAGAACCCCGGAAAAGGGAATAGGGGAGTAGTCCTGAAAGACAGGAGAAACACCGGCTCCTTTAAGAATATTTCTTAAAATTTCAACCGTGGCAAGCAATTTACCGCTTTCCCCAGTTTTGTGCCTATAGTGCAGCAGCACCCCGTGAGCTGTGGTTGTATCCTGCTGTCCAGCTCCGGAGCTCTCTTCATCTTTTTTTTTTTGTATTGGGGGTTGAACTCAGGGGCACTCCACCACTGAGCCATGTCCCCAGCCCTATTTTGTATTTTATCTAGAAACAGGGTCTCACTGAGTTGCTTAGTGACCAGAGGCTGGCTTTGAACTTGCGATCCTCCTGTCTCAGCCTCCCAAGCCCCTGGGATTACAGGCATGTGCCAAGGCGCCCACCTGGCAGCTCTTTTCATCTTACAAAACTGAAACTCTGACCCACTGAACAGTAACTCCCCACTGGCCTCCTGGTCCCTGGCGCCCAGTTTGGGTTTGACTCCTGTGGGTGGTCCACTGCAGACTCTGTCTTGCACACGGTCATCAGGGTCATCAGCACTTGCCCATGCCAGCATCTCTTCTGTCCTGCGGTGAAGAGAGTTCCCCTGTGTGTGGGGAACCGTGTCGTGTTGACCCACTCATCCACCAGTGGGCATCTKCGTTGCTTCCACCTTTGGGCAAATGTGCCTACTGCCACCATGGCCGTGGGTGTACAAACATCTCTTTGAGTCCCTGGTCTCATTTCCTTGGGGGTCTACACCCAGAAGTGGCATTATTGGATCAAAACTTTATCTTTAATTCCCAGAGCACAAGATTAAAGGAGGTTAAAAAACATTTCTCCTTCCCTTCCCGACACAGATTTCCAGAGGATATCCTGGCTCAAGACTTTGCTGATCATGTTAGGAGAAACGAGAAGGACAGCAACTGTGGGTTTGCAGAGGAGTACCAGGTGGGCTGGGCACAGGGGCCACGCTCAGATCCCTGTGCCTCCACCCAGTCCAGACCTTCCCGCACCCTTTGGGTTTCGAGCAGCAACACAGACCTTGTTCAGTTGTGCAGATATTATCAGGAGTGGTCATCTTTCCAACATGTTGACATCTTTTTTTTTTGGCTGGGCTGGGGTACCAGGGATTAAACTCAGGGGCACTTGGCTACTGAGCCACAYCCCCAGCCCTATTTTATATTTTATTTAGAGACAGGGTCTCACTGAGTTGCTTAGTGCCTTGCTTTTGCTAAGGCTGGCTTTGAACTCACCATCCTCCTGCCTCAGCCTCCTGAGTCACTAGGATTRCAGGYGTGCGCCCCTGCGCCTGGCTCAACACGTTGACATCTTAAACAATGATGAGCTCCGGCACAACCTTACGGCAATTCCCCYACTCCCACTGGGGCGCTCTGTCTTTCCCCTAATGCCTGTCCCTAACTTCTCCCCACATCCTCTCAACTGCCCCACAGGGTGGGTAGCACATCTCTTCTATTTTTGTGGGTGACACAGAATCCCAGGGTGTAAGGGAAAAACAGGAAGTGGCACTGAAGAGGGACGGGGAGCCCTGGGGTTCTTGGGGAGGTAGGGATAGTGTAACACCATGCACCCCCTTTTCCTCTGTCCCCAGCAACTGGCCCTGGAAGGTCATGGCCAGTCTCAGATGGTGGCTTTAGCTCCTGAGAACAAGGCCAAGAACCGCTACAGAAATGTGCTGCCCTGTGAGTTTTTCATTTCTGCTATCTTCATCCCCAGCCCTGATGTTGTCCACACTCCATTCCTGGTCCTCTTCTCTATCCTTATGAAAGACAAAGCTCCTCCCCTTGGTGGGCTCCTAGCCCACTCTGCCCCTCTCAATCCCTACATAGCTCCCAGTGTCTGTCTGCATCTGGGTGTGTCTTCAGTCCCTGGGTCTCAGGCTTCTCTCTGCCTCTCTGGGGCTGTGTGTATTTTTGCTAATGCTGATTTCTTCTCCTAGATGACTGGTCCCGGGTGCCCCTGGAACTCCTCCATGAAGAACCAGGCTCTGACTACATCAATGCCAGCTTCATGCCTGTAAGGTGGGGGCTGGGGCCGGAAGGATGCTCAGGGAGGCTCACTGGTAAAAGCTGAATCATCAGATGACCCTTGATATGCATGTTTTCCTCAACCAGGGACTCTGGAGCCCCAGGGAGTTCATTGCAGCCCAGGGCCCTCTGCCCCAAACTGTGGGCGACTTCTGGCGCATGGTGTGGGAACAACAGAGCCACACCCTGGTCATGCTGACCAACTGCATGGAGTCTGGCCGGGTAAGAGGACCTCTGTCCCAGACATTTACTCAATGTAGATCCTGACATACACCTCTCTGATTCCTCCACTATGACCCCAGTGTGGACGCTCCTCCACGCCCTCCCGGCTGTCCACCAGATGACTYGTGGAAGGTTCTTAGTCCCTTTTCTGTTTCTATAACTGAGTACCATAGTCTGGGAAATTTATAAAGTCTGGAGGCTGGAGGCTGAGGAACACGGAGCAGGCATCTGGAGAGCACATTCTTGCTGGTCCTAGCACAGAGACAGAGCAGCAGGCTAGCTAGGCCCACCCTCAAGACCCCCTCCAGCCCCAATCACCTCCCAAGGCTCCACCTCCAAATACCATTACCGTGTGAATTGGGGGACGAGGTTTTCAACTGTTTGGGGGACAGGTTCAAACCTCAGCAGGGAGTGGAGCTGACCCCTCTGACCTCGGGCTGGAGGGACTCCTGGCTGGCATGCCTCTGTACCTGGCTGCCTATGGGTCCCACCTTGAGCAGAAGAGCCACATGCAGAGGCCTTCCCACTGACTGTCCTGTCCTCCACCAGGTGAAGTGCGAGCATTACTGGCCTCTGGATGCTCAACCCTGTACTCATGGGGACCTGCAGGTGGCTCTGGTGGGTGAGGAGGTGATGGAGAACTGGACGGTCAGGGATCTGCAGCTCCTGCATGTGAGTCCCTCCAGCCTGCGTGCGCAGAGCCCTCTGTGAAGTCAGACTGCAGGGCGCCCTGCAGCATGCTCTCCCACCAACCCTTCCTCCTTCCAGTTGGAAGAGCGGAAGACTCTCTCTGTGCGCCAGTTCCACTACCTGGCCTGGCCAGACCACGGTGTCCCCCAACCAGACCCCTTGCTGGCTTTCTGGAAGGTGCTCCGGCAGTGGCTGGACCAGACCTCAGAGGGAGGCCCCCCCATTGTGCACTGCAGGTACACATCACCCTGGCACCCTCTCTTGGAGAAAGCCCCCATTGGGACTCAGGGAAGGGTGTCAGATGGGTCCCTGGGGACTTGTAGAGAGGTGGAAGAGGAGGAGGAGGTGAATGCAGAGTGATGAGGKTTATAAAGCAGATTTAGATGATGATGAAATCTGGGGGTATAGTTCAGTTTGCTCTCCAGCAATGAAAACAGGATGGAGGAAGACAAGGAAGAGGAGAGAGGGAGAGGGAGAAGGAGAAGAGAGGGAGAGGGAGGAGGAGGGAGAGGGAGAGGGAG